TAATATTGATAAGGATAATTAATATCATCTATGTTGGACCAGATGAAAAAGGGTAGTACAATCTCTTTTCACAACTGTACAAGGAGAATATCATAAAATAAGATTTAGTTGATTCCACTTATCACATTAAAATCTTCTTTCAACGATAATGTGGGATTTCAAAACCCACTAAGAAGCCCGATTATAATTTAGAAGTGATATGAGTTTCAAATCCTATTTATGAGAGTAGCATGGATTATTGAGAGACCTTGACTGATTAGAAGTCATGAAAATTTAGCCCTTTATCTCTTCTAGTTCTTGAGAACAATTTAAGTGTTAAAGGGGAGGAGGGGGTGGTGGACCATGCAGTATATATGCAGCTAGGTAAGTATTAATATGTTGAGACGATTAGAAAACGTGCAACAACGGAAAAGTATCATCGTACATATAGTATGTGTTGTTACGTAGTGGTCGAAAGTCAATCAGGCTAGGATGTTAATAAACGCCCCTATAACCAAAATTCATTTAATGAACTTTTAACTCACAATTAAAGCTATCTATTGCTACTCCAACTGAACTAGAGAAGAGATGAGATGAGAAACAAGATATCAATTCGTCGTTTGCTATTGGAGTAGTGTTGATAAGTCAATATACTTTTCAGTTATCAATAAATATAAGAGATTGATATTAGCTATATTCATGGGTATGGGATAATTGAGTGTTGAGATTAAAGTTTTTGAATGAAAATTATTTTTTTTAAGTAGAGGCAAATGTTATTTTTTGGTGTTTGGTTCATGAATTTCATTTTCCTTTGAAAAATGAATTCCTCACATATGAGGAAAATAAAATCCTTCGTAAGACAGGAGATTTGTTCTATGGTAGTTGTGAAAAAAAATGAAGTGGTTTGACAATATAATTCTTGGTAATCGCCATGCACCCTAACATATATTACTTGAAGATGCGTGTCTCTTCTAAAAAAAATAAAAAATTAAACATGGCTATTTTGTCACATCTAAATTTAGATCCACTTTACAAATCATATAACAATCAATAACTTGAGGGCTAAATCATAAAATCTCGACTAATTAATCATGACCTCATATCCTACAACTCAAACATAGCGTGCATATGTTTTCTCATCCTCTTCTTATTATTATATTATTAGAAAAAATTACAAATTTTGTCCCTAAGTTATAGAGTAATTATAGAATTCGTCCATAATTATTAATTGTACTCACTTCTTGTCCCTAGCTAAATTGTAATTGACGCTACAAATTTCTATCCCTTTATTACTAACAAAACATTATTAGATGTGAAATTTACAACTCAAGTTAGATTGGAGAAGAAAAGTGAGCACGATCAATAAATAGAAACAAAATCTAAAATTATCCTATAAATTAGGGACAAAAAGTACAATTTTTAATAATAATAATAATAATAATATATTATTATTATTATTATTATTATTATTATTATTATTATTATTATTAATTCCTAAGCTGGTTTACTTTGTGGACTTTTCGGCTAAAATTATAAGGCGAATTTCACATTGTGCACACCTTTGGATAGTAGAATACAGACTTCACCATTAATCAAATATTTAAAAATAAAGATCCTATTAATCATAAGTAGCACAATTATGCATATGTGACGATGTGGTACACCAAATTATAAAATTTATGGAAGATACATTATACATACGGTGGATATGTAGTAGTAGTAGTTGTTCCCACTTCACATCCAAATTGCACTAGAAATTGTCCCATCTTCTCTGTCGTAGCCATACAAAAATATAATATATATTAAATCCAGAAGCCAACAAGAGAAGGTGAGATTGGGCAGCAGCAAGTTGCAAGTTGCAGTTGCAGTTGCAGTTGCTGTGCATATCTCCATGCCCTACTTTTCGTACCTATTAAACAAAGGACTTGCAACTTGCACAATTATTATTACTGTTATTTTTTTCCCAAAAAAAATAAATATATTTATTTGTTTATCTATGGTGAAGCGTCAGCTAATTGGTCTCTTCACAAGAAAAAGCCCCTTCCAACTTGCAAGAGTAGCTGTTGATTCCCATCACGTTATCGCTACTAATAATACTGTTTTAAATACTACAACATGGTACCAAACAAATCAAACCTCTTCCTCTCTCTCTCTCTCTCTTAAATGCTTTTTGGGTTTAGTGAAGTTGACCCAATATAAATTCAATACTGATATATAAATAAATGATGAATATGTGATGGGAAATAAATGAATACAAAATTTATTTTAGGTGAAAATAGTAAAGTTGAAAGTTACGTGTTTTTTGATAATTTCAAGTTAAACTATATTGTATGTTTTGTAGAGTTTTTGGTGAAATAATATTTTACTGTAGATTGAAAACCTGATAAAATGTTGAGCTTGAGTGTACCTTCGCTTATGTTATAAGCTAAGAGCATGATCTGATCCGTTAATGGAGAACGAGGAAGAGGGTGCCTCGTGTCTTTGTATGGAGAATATAATGAGTTTATTCATGGTGAATAATGACTACTTATGATGAAATAATGGAGATTTATACATCCATGTAACACATTTTGATTTTTGCCCACAAAAGACGAAATCTCATGCTCCAAGGGCCTCCATTGGTTCGATAAGATGATAATGAGTAAATCACAATGACTTAGTTGTTTTTAGGTGAAAAGACCCGTGCTTAGTTCCCAACTGTCTATAAAGAGCCCACCACATTGTCTGTAACTTTCACACTGTAATTGTGAAGTCTCGATTTACATTATTGTCCACAATCTACCACTTGAATACTAATTGAGGTGTCCATGTGGGCACCTATTTTGATTTTTGACGAGCCAATTTGTATGTTGGAGAATAATATAACATTTGAGGGTAAAAACTATATTACGTGGTAAATTTCTTATTCACAAATACAAATATAGAAACTAGTTTTAATTTTTATAAGTTGTGCGTGTACCAGTGAAATACACGATAAATGATTTAATAATTCCAATTACAACAAATAATCATTAATAACAACTTTAAAACAATCAAAACTAAAATCGATGTTTGAACCTATAACCTTTTAGATCAAGCATTTTAATTAATTTTAAAACTTTTTTTGTCAATTAAACAAGGTATTAGACACTTTACTTGCCTTAATGTATAAGAAAATATTGTGAAGATAATGATAAGAGGAAAATGTATAAATAAATTGCAAATGGCATTTAATTTGATTTTATTATGGATAGACATTAAGTCATTAACGATCTTTTATTTCAATCAATTCAAATAATTTTACAGTTCGTATTTTTTTACTATGCCAAGCAGGAATATAATTTATATATATAGTATCTTCATTTGAACTGTGAAACATGTTACATGCCTAACTCATTTACCAATAGTTATATATTCTTGAGAGACACAAATAAAAAGTCAAATTGGTAGGTTTTATATATATTTTGATAAGATCATCAACAAGTATGTTAAAATAAAGAGTTAATGAACAATTTGGTCCCTCAATTATTAGTAAACTGTCAATGTAGCCCCTCAATTGCTTATTCATCGATTTGGTCCCCGAAAACAATTATTTGTAGTCAATTTAGTCCCTCAGGCCGTCTTACGTCGATGGCCGGAGGGACTAAATCAACTAAAAATAATTGTTTTCGGGGACCAAATCGACAGCCGAAGGGACTAAATCGACTAAAAATAATTGTTTTCAGAGACCAAATTGATGAATAAGCGCTTGAGAGACTATATTGACAATTCGTTAATAATTGTGGGACCAAATCGTTGATTTACTCTAAAATAAAAGTTACAAGTTTTCTATTTAACTTGTTTTTTTTTTTTTAATTATCCAATATAGTTTTACATAATTAACTCATAAAATTATCATGAATTCATGGGATGATATCACCAACGTACTTGTATGTGTTGGATGGCAATTTCTGATAAATTCTGTCTGTATAGATAATTACCAACATGGATTTGCTAGAATTGCCATTTGCGTCCAATATGACCCTATTACTAATGAAATATAGTCCGTTGGTAATGCGATTTTTCTATAGTGAAAAAGACGTTATAATCTTAAGAATCATAATCCATTCAAGTTGGAAGCATGATACCTATTGTAATATTAAAAATATACTTATTTTGTGAAGGTCATTTTATACCGTAAAGACTATTGATATAATTATAAGGTCGGAAGTGCAATTCTTATCAAATGTATATTATGTTTAAAAAAAAAAAAAAAAAAAAAAAAACTCTAACTCAGATTTTTTTTTGATTTGGAAGTTAAATTGTGTGATTGTACTTGATTAAAATTTAAATTAGTTTATAGTAGTGAGAAACTGAACCGATTTAATGTGGGAATATAAATTATTTTAAGATATATAGTATGTTGGGTCAAAGTGTGTAAACACGCTATGTTTAACTAATGGTAATTGCGTTTAAGCTAGCTGGCAACTAGCATCAAACGCCGCCGTCACTATTTAATAATTTTCTCATTGCTAACCCATCATTTCACGCGCAATTTACACCCCAAAGACGGTAAGCTCCCAAAACCGTTTAACACCGTTTCACCCTGCGTGCATGTGAATGGCTCATTAGACAACTTAGAAGAAGATTCTTCTATACATTAAGATGCCTTATTAACATGAAATATTTACCAAATATTATTAGTCGTTAATTGTTTGATATAGAAATAAGATCCACAAATGGTTTAGGAGTTGAAAAATTCTGCTCTTTATACACCTCATAATCACAATTCCTTGGTATATCCAATGGTCATAGACAATCAAATTCGAAATCAAATAAATAATGCTTCTTAATATTCGTTCTTAGGTGATTAATTTCAATGTGGTCCAATAACTTTACTTTCTTATCAATATCAACGGTTCAATAAAACGTTTATCACTACTTAAAATTTACAACTCTGAATACACAACTTAATATTTTTATTATTAAAATTAAACTGTTGTAATGATATAATTTTGTGTTGAAAGGAAAACATACATACAAAACGCAAGAAAGAATAGAAGGATCTGAATTGGATGGAGAAATGAATTTATGATGTTGAAGCAATTTTGACAACCTGGTATTCAACAAAATTAAAGCACAAACTTTGAACTTGGGAACTAATATGTTGTCGTGATGATTTTGAAGCTATATATGGTGTGATCGAAGTACAAAACATTACACATGATAATAATGATGATTGCAACTACTCACGGCAAGATCAGAGCTTAATTAAATTAATTAAGCTATCATCACCTCCTTCACTCCGCGGGAGCCTTCAATTCATCGGCACTCGATTATTTCTTGTTTTTCATTTTGCATGCGTGTCGTGATCGGCGATCAATTCAAGCGGCGTTTCGTCTGCCGGAGCTCTCGGCGATCTGCGCCAGCGACTGGAGGTTGCATTTCACGATAGTGTCGACGAACACGCACGTCTCCTCCCGCGTGTTCCCCGGCGGGATGTCCACCACGTACGACTCCACCACGACGGTGCCGGCCTCGTCCTCGCCGTCTCCGCCGCTCGCCTCCGGGTGGAGCGTCGTCACGGAGCGGTAGTTCGCCAGGCGGTGGTCCCCGCCGACGACGCTGAAGCTGATGACGTGGCGCTCCTCGTCCAGGATCTCCAACCGCTCCGTGCTGTTGGCCGCGGGGAGGCCGGACACCACGCGCACCTCGCGGAGCGTCCCCACGTCGCCGTCCCCCGCGATGACGTGGCAGCTCTTCACGAAGTGCTTGTACGCCTGCGGGTTATCGAAGCGGCGCACGACGGCCCACACGGCGGCGACCGGGGCGGCGATGTACTGGATCACGGCGGAGCAGCACTGGTTGGGACTCACCGAATACGCGTGATATCTGGCCGCCGTTTCCGGGACACGGCTGTCGCAGGGTATCGGCGTCCGCCGTTGATACTGCGGCTGTGATTGCTTACACGTGGCCGCCGCCCCCGGGATGAGTCTTTGAAGCAAAACAGACGTCTCCGGCGGATTCGGAAGCATTTCAGACATTACAAATCAATCTCAGGATTGATTATATTCTTGTATATATACACACACTTCTTTGTATGCAAAATCTCTCCCTCTCTCTCTATATAGAGATGTATGTATAATCTGGGTTGGAGGGTTGGTCTCTTTGTAACTCTTGAAGCTTATCAAGGGCTGTAGTGGCTCTATCCGGTGGGCGGATGGTATATGTATCTTACACTATACTTCTATGAATGTGTGTATATATAATAATGTATTACAGAGAGGAGAGGAGATTGTTGGGTTTTCAAAAGGAGAGGAAGAAAAGGCAGTGGGCGATAAGCTCATGTGATGTTCATAAAACAACTTCTACTTGCTATGCTGCAATTACCAAAACACCCTTTGTGTTATTATATTATTTTCAACGTACTACTTGTGGCCCTGGTTGAGGATATACATAATAATATAATTCTCTCCTTGGGATTTTAATTTTGTGGATCATGCCTTCACCCAACCTTACATTTTTATTTTTTTAAATATGTGACGAAAGAAATTCATTCTTTCCAAAAGGCTGAACCCCAACACCCCAGTTTGACAGAGCATTTGAGAAGATGTAAATCATGATAACTCAACTGAACATGAACCACAGAAGTTAGACATTTGCTTACTGCGTATAAGGAGCCCCTCTCACTTTGAGAGGTTGTTCACATACTACCACTGGTGAGACTCGATCCTGGTCATTCTTTCCTACTTTCACCTTTATATTGAGCTACCCACGCGGGCGATCAAAAAAATTTCATAGTTCGGTTAGAAGGTGTGTAAAATATATTGTAATTATTTTTTGTTTTTTATTGCTTTTGATTGTTGTATGTGATAATATATAGTATGTTGGAAATTAAAAACACTCTAATCTTGTTGTGAGTTAAATTTATATGTTTGTAGTTATTATTTTTTTTTTTTTTGAAAGCATAAGTTTGTAGTTATTAACAAGTTAATAATGTAATCAACTTGTCTGATCTGAGTTATTTTAGTTTTAGAATTTCATTATATTGTTATGTTTGCTTTTTTCATAATAAGTGAAAGTGCGGAACACCTTAAATGGTTTTTCAATAAAATTGTTATTTTAACCACATTTGTTATTTTATATGATAATGCAGGATGACACTTTGCAACGAAGGAAACACTGAATTTTAAATACATAGATTGGCCCAAACATTATACGGTTTGTGAAACATTAATAATAACATACAATTAAATAATAATAATAATAATAATAATAATAATAATAATAATAATAATAATAATAATAATAATAATAATAATAATAATAATAATACTAGAGTCCATCAAAGGATAAACATTATGGTAGAAGTGGGTGGGGGGTTAATATAAGTTTCAATATCAAACTTCAAAATCCTTTATGTATCGTTCCTATTTTAGAGATAGGTGTATGAAATAAATTGAGATGTGTTTCAATTGACAACTCGTGTGTAATAATACTAATAACAAAATCAAATCCATACCCTTTTTTTTTATATATAGTTATTGTGGTAGGATTTGAATTATGCACATTGCAACTACAATCAAAGTAAAGAACAAAAGTTATGAATTTATTTTAAATTTTAGACTAATTAAGTACGTAGTTGAGCTATACATATGCTTGCACGGGTGATCGGTTCTCCTTCTGACCTTGGGGTTTGGGATGTTTTTCTGCCCAGTTGTATTTCCAGTTTGTTTGATGATTTAATATAAATTTGGTTCGTTGGTTTTTTTTTTTTTTTTTTTTTTTTTAAGTAATTGAGCTATACCTTAGGGAGAAAGTGGGGGGTAATATGTCATTTCAAAGTATAGGAATTTTCTCCCACCATGCCCAATGCAAATTGAGAAGGCAACATGGTAATAAGTAATAAGAATGCAAGAAAATGCAAGGAAAAAAAGAAAAGCAAGTTGCATGGCCAGGCCAACTGCCCCCCTCAAGTAGATAGCAGGTAAATTGCAGTATGTATCAAGTTGGCATAGAAAAAGGAGGTATCCACTACCCAATCAAAAATAAGATAAAGCTAAGCAATAAGCATCTGTCTTCTTGTCTGCCCTCTCCTGCCGCCTGCTAAAAGTCATACCGCACCTCCTTTAATTTTGTGCGTCCAATCTCTACAACATCACCCAATATCTATAATCTAATACGGAGTACAATAATACATCAACTATTTTTCTCTACCATACATAATTTCCCTAAACTTTTCATTTTACATAAATTCATATTTGCGTTAAGTCGGTACTATTAGGTATATAAAAATACACCACACAGTGTCCAGAAATACACCAATGCATCAGCTCTAATTGTGCATTTTCAATAACTATGTAGTACATTTATGCGTACTTAATGGTAGGTGAGTGCACGGCTGCACGGAAATCTAACTCTATATATATATATATATATATGTATGTAACGCCCTAATAATAATGCCCATCAGCCTAGTCCATGCCAGGCCAAGTTCATCATTCATCACCAGTCATCACTGTCCTGATTTCCTGCAGAAATTTTGGAAAACCAATGATGATGATTTAATCCATTTATTTTCTAGTTTTCAGAAGTTTCTCATGCAACCAAGTTGAGGGTTTTGCATACTATTCCAACTTGAGGGTTGACAAGCTTTAACGTGAAGTCTATGACTTCATGATAAGGACTAATATCCTTTGGTTTACCTACATGTCTTTATCTTTAATTTGGGTATGGATTTCATCCAACTCTACCTCTTTAATTTATTCTCACCAACGTTAATAATGAATGTAATCTTTAACATATATATTTTCTAAAATATGATCCACAATATTTACTATAATTGAACCTTAGCTTCGAGCTTGTAATAAATTTACTAATTACAGAGTTCAGCGTCTTACATCATTTTCTAAGTATTTAACTATATGCAAATTTTCACATTTTGGTATATATATATATATATATTCCGTTCGTCTCATTTTATGTGTATGGTTCGATTATATTAATAAGATTAATTAAAGTTAGTTAAAATTCAATTTTTCATAATATTAAATTTAATATTAGTAGTACTTAAATTAAAATTTAAAATTATTAAAAAAATACTAAAAATAAGCAAGAAAAATTAATTTGACCCATGAATAATAAATATAACAGGTAAAATATGTCATATAGAATATATATTAATATCTTCATTAAATTGAAACCAAACAACAATAATATATGGAGACCCCCTCAAATTAAACCCCATGCCCCTTCCCCCAACTACAACCTAAAGTCCTAAACGCCTCTTTGTCCTAATTTAGAAATAATATTAAAATAGGGTAACGTACTCAATGGATGGGCCCGCTTTACTTTAATCCACTTGACAATGCAAGTTGGTACTAAAATATGGGGCATATAGTCGTACTAATCCAAATGGTCATTGGAAGGACACTTCAAGGTAGATAAGTGTAACCTTCTTTAAAAAAAAAATAAAATAAAATAAAATAATAATAATAATAATAATAATAATAAAATAAAAACTGTGGTCCTACCGCTCAAAATAGAAACATAGTCATAGTTTTATCAACCTATTCCAAGTTCCAAACACTAATATTAAATACGTGTAGCAAATTTTTGATATGTTTTCAAATTTTAAAAATTTTATTGGCATACCAAAATGCGAAAATGTCATAAAAATTTCCAACATACCATTACACCGAAAAATAAAATATAATGTTAAAAATATTTACGACATAAAAATAAAAATAATATATAGAGTTGAAAAAATTCGACATTGGCAGACGAAAGATTTAGTAGATTAAGTCATTAAGGAATCAGAGATTCAGAGCTGAGGAAAAGAAGAAGAAGGAATTGCCTTCTCTCTTAACCATTTGTTAGTATTTAATTTAGCAATTTGTTATATATTATTATTCTTCTCGATCTCTTACCCAATTGTAATATTATATGCTACTCCATAGTTTTTAATTTAGCAATTTGTTATATTAGTATTCTCTATTTACAATTTGTTATATAATACTACCAGCATTTAATTTAATTAGCAAATTGTTATTAATATTAATATATTCTCCTAGAAATTAAAATCTGTATTGTTTATGCAATTATGCATAGGTGAGTTGGTAACGTCCTTCCTGGTCGCATTAATCCTGTCCTCGCTTTCCAAACACCACTTACACATATCCAACTTTGTTACGTTTGATTATTATTATTAGTATTTTTATGCATGATGTATAAAAGATGCAAAATAAGTCTATAAAAAATAAAGAGATACTATCATAATATAATTTTTCTAGTATTGTTATTGTTATTGTTATTGTTATTATTATTATTATTATTATTATTAATTTTTCTAGTATTGTTATTGTTATTATTATTATTATTATTATTATTATTATTATTATTATTATTATTATTATTATTATTTCTGTTTGTTTGAAGAAGAATCTGGATATTAAAAAATTATTTAAATTAATAAACCGACTTTTTCAGATTTACTCGACTTTCGTAAATTAAAATAATGTTATACAATTTGATTGATTAAATAATATTTATGTATGTAAGGTCAAATTGAATCCACATGCTCGTGGATGTCGAAAGCATTCCACTTCTTGATATAAGACCCCGTAGCTTAAGGAATATATGTGTAGATTTATCATTGCACTCAAAATATATATGCCCCAGTTCGTCAACAGTGTCTGATTTAAATTTTACTGAAAATATGTATAAAAAAAGATTCAATATTAGAAGGTCAATTTTCTTCTTTGTGCACACGTGATGATTAGAATATGACTAGTTAACTAATTGTGCGACTCACGATTTTCCTTCGTAGTGAAAATTTTATGAACTACTGCATGAGGAACATTGTTCTCATATGATCTTCTCTCTCTCTCTCTCTCTCTCTCTCTCTCTCTCTATATATATATATATATATATATATATATATATATATATATATATATATATGGGTTTTTTCAAACATAAATACATTATGATTTTGGTCTTTAAGAAATTTTAATTACAATTTCACAAAATAAATTCAAAACGCATAACCATTACATTTAAAATGGATTCATTTACTCTCGATGCTGTTAGGAA